AATATAGTACAATATAATATAATATAGTACAATATAATATAATATGATATAATATAATATCACTCGCACCGTCACCGCGTCTTCACCTCGCGGCCTCGCGCCCTCACCTTGCGACCTCGCGCCTCGCCTCGCGGCCAGGTCCGTTCTGAAAAAACCCTACCTTTTCTCCCCCTCTTCGCGGCAGTATCCACCTTAAACCCCAAACCCCTAAACCCCTAAACCCCTAAACCCTGAGCCCCTCGTCTTCATGGGAGCCTCCGCACTGGCAGCAAGCCTCGCGGCTGCTTTGCCCCTGGCTTCGCTTCACGCTGCACTCGTTCTCCGAAATCTGGGCACCTCAGCTCCGGGGTTCGGGTTTAGGGCTTTAGGCTTTAGGGTTTAGGGTTTAGGGTTTAGGGTTTAGGGTTTAGGGTTTAGGGTTTAGGGTTTAGGGTTTAGGGCTTTAGGGGTTCCTGGGTTTCGGGGGTTTAGGGGCTTTAGGGGTTCTTGGGGTTTAAGGTTTAGGGTTTAGTGGCTTTAGGGGCTGTTGGGGTTTAGGGGCTTTAGGGGCTTTTGGGGTTCAGGGGCTTTGGGAGTTTAGGGGCTTTGGGATTCGGGGTTTTCTTACAAGGCTTCCTGGAAGGGGTTCTGGGAGCTCGGGTTTGCGGTTTGGGGTGTGGGGTTTAGGGCTTTCGGACTCCTGACTTTCAAACAGCCCTCAGCAACTATCCATAGGCCCCATAGTAGTTCCTTTCTGGGATTACCTAATTAGGATCCTAAATATAAGCCGCAAAAAGGAACTACTATGGGGCCTATTACCTATGGGTAGAGACTAGGGATCAAGTCGATCTTCTATTCTAGTATACAGCCATTTCACAAACTCCAAAACCAGAGGGGAACACTAGTCCTAGTTATTCAAGCTCCTTCTACCAGGCTTTCTGACTTCAAGGCTTTGGGGCTTCGCGTACAAGCCGAAAGCAACGCCCTCAACTTTTTGGGCTCAGGGCAAGCCTAAACCCGACAACTTTAGGGTTCCTTAAACCTTAAACCCCAAAACGGTCCTTTTAGGGTTTAGGGTTTAGGGTTTAGGGTTTAAGGCTAAACCATAAAAACGGACCCCAGTGGCCCCAAAACATCGAAAACCTCAGGGTCTCTACTTTTTTGGCTTCGACCATGGTGCAGGTCTTCCCCGCCGAGTCCGCCCAGCCCGGAATGTCCATGCACGGAGCATACCTGGACCAGGAGGGTTGAGGGTTTCAGGGGGGTATACTTGGTATAAGTATATTCTATATACTTATAACAAGGAACCCACCAACATAGGATCGAGTCGGTAATTATGTAAATCCCTAAAGTTTGATAGAGTTTAGGGTGGTTTAGAGGCTCTAGCTGTCAAAAGGTCTTTGGTTCATGGCTTTGGGAACTTACGCGTGCGGGCTTTCGAAATTGGAGATTGGGCGCAGGGTCTGGAAATAAAGGACATCAAGAAGAAGCCAGGGTCGAATTACCCCAAACCTTCTTACGCACTTCGTGCATGTGAATTTCAGACAATCAGGGATCCAACGAATAGATCCTGAAATTCGAGACAGATCCCTACACCACCAGATACCCTGATTGCAGCCAACCCTTCCACCAGGGAGCCACGCGAGTCTTCAGAAACCTCCAAAACCTTGTGAGACACTCATTGTAAGACACCCGAATAAGGAATCTCTATTCTGAAGAACTCAGAACTCTCCCCCACCCGCCTCCCAAAAACATACACTTGCCTAAACCCAAACAGAAGGAAACAAGTCAACCAATACTTGGAAGCTGAGATACAAAGGCTCATCCGCCAGCTTCACGAATGCAGGCTCCCGGACCGTGCAACTGCCCTTCTGCTCTCTTTCACAGCCGTTGCAGTCCTCCCACAGAAACACCGAGATGTGTAATCGGCTTGCGATAACATAGAGGCAGTATTGCGGCCTAGGGGGGATCTTACCTACTAAGAATTGGGACCGCGATATGAAGAATCCAACACTGCCCTGAGTGAGCCTCTCAGTGCAGTTCTTGCGCTGTCCTGTTTGGTAGTGTCGCAGCACCAGACACTCGGTTTGCGGCGAAACCAAACAGCCGGCGACTCATAGGATTTGCACCTGGCCGGCCCAAAAGGCTTTAGGGTGTAGGAGCTGTAGGTTTTAGGGTTCAGGCCCACTGGCAGTTTGGGATTGAGGGTTTAGGTTCATAAGCTGTATCGGGCTTGGAACCTGGGTTTTGACTGAAACGTGTTGCCCCAGATTTTCAATTGAAATTCGACAAAGGTGGACTGAGTGCGGCAGACTGGGCTGGCTTACGCACATACACTTTTTGTTGCCATAACGTAAGGGCTCTGTACGGCTCCACAATGACAAGGGTTTCTGCAAATGTTGTAGAAGGGAGAACCACCGGAGGAAGCCTTCGTGAAGGGTTGAGGGCTTGCTGTTATGCCTTGGAGAGCTTGGGGTGTGTTTCTGATTCCTTTGGCGGCTTTAGGGTGTAGGTCCTAAGCTCTAGATCCCTGGAACCGCACAGCCAGCCTTCTTTGCTCCTCCTGCTCTTCCTCCTGCAGGTGACGCTTTAGGGTGGCAGGCTCTGAACGGACTTCTTGGGCAACGGGGCCAGGATCCACGAGCTTGCAGCTTTCATCCGGATCTGTATGTGATTCTGAAAGCAATGTTTCGAAGTTTCCTTCTCAAAAGCCCAAACACAGGGGCCTGAATAATCACAATACCGAATAGGCTTGTGCTATGACTCGTTTAGTAAGGTGCGACCAAGCCAATTTGTTCAAGCCTCTATGTATTATGCCTCACATGTAAGTGGAGAACTCAGCAGTTTCAAGGCCCAGGTCGTCCCCAACAGCTCCAAAGTCGTTTAGATGAGGTTCCTCGGGGACGAATGAGTGCCATGCCTGTTCATCGAGCACTTGGGAATCGCTGGGCCCCTTAAAAAAATCTCGTCTATGCTTCTTCACAACCAAGCTCAGCACGCCTTCATGGACCCTTCCTGAAGCCCACGAACCTACAGGTCACCTGCCGTCGTGCGAAGTTTCCGTCGCTAATTGCTACGGCAGGAGTCGGGCGTCGGTCAACTTTTTGGCGCGCGCGGCGTGGGCTGCCGCTAACATCCACTACCCCCGTCTCTGTGCTCTGAAAGTTAGAACCTGAAATACTAGGGGCCTCAACAATTACAATAGGGTTTTCGGGTATATTATACTAAAACTCTAAAAAGGAACCCCCAGAATACCATTGGCAATTGTTTGGGCCACTATAGCATGTACCACGATTTTGTGGAACTATATCCTACGGTTCCCGAAGATTGATACTATGGTGTCCCACAACCCCAATCTAATTCTTCCGCAGACGCCTGACTTATTCCTGCATCCAAGGCACTCCCTGAAAGGTACGGTTGGTCTTGATCGTCAAGTCCTCTCTTGCAGGAGCTACCCTGCAAGCGCTCGGTGCCACCGATGGGGTTTAAGGTTTAAGGTTTGGGACCCTATGCCCTTCGCCCCGACCCTTCAGGGGTTAGGGTCTAGCTTCGCGAGCTAGAGCCTTTATACCTTGCGAGCGCGAGCGCGAGAGGCTCCACACCACAGGAGCCACAAGCCCTGCAGTGTTGTAGGGGCCCGAATAGCTACCACTAGCACTATCATTCCTTCCGGGTTGCTTCCTATCACTGTACCATAATGATACAATGTCCGCCAAAGCTTGAACTGACTAGGTAAGTACGGGCTACGTACTACAAGGGGGGTGTCTTTCTAAGATAGGTGGCTTAGGGACTTAGGCCTAACAAAGCCTGCCACGCAGTATTCAGGCCCTCACATATCGACCACAAGACCTGAAACAACAAAAAAAAACAGCGAAACACGCAACCTCACCCCACGACCCAAATCCCCGAGCCCAAACCCTAAACCCTCACTCCCTAGGCCCATGCAAATCCCTATAAACCCCTACACCCCAACACCCAAACCCTAAAGCCTACACAGCATAGAGCCCCAAGGCGCATCAACTCTTGGAGTCTCGAAGGTCCTCGATCTGGGCATCATGGCTCTCAGTGGCCACCAGGGCCTCGTCTCTTCAGTTTAGGGTTCAGCAGTTTAGGAGTTCGGGCCTTGAAAAGAATCAGCGGTTTAGTAGTTCAGGCTTTGAAAAGAATCAGCGGTTTAGAAGTTCAGGCTTTGAAAAGAATCATGGGTCCGTAAGATTTTGAGAAGGTTGTTGTGAGGCGCTTGTGCCGGTTCTGTCGCGCGTTCAAGCGCTTTGGAGGAGCCCGTACATTACACGTTATTGTCGGGGCCTTAATAATTTGGGGGGTTCCTTATTATAAATTTAAAGCATTATATACCCCAAACCCTATTCTAACTATGAAGGCCCCTATGTTAAGGATGGTTTTGCCTGTATTGGGATAGTCAGCTCCCAGAGCTGCTCGAAGGAGCCCTCATGCTCTTGGGACTCTTGGGGTGCTTACAGGCCTTAGGGCTTAGGTTTCGTGGATTCGGCTCCCAAGGCTTGTAGCAACTCTTTAAGGATGCCCTTATGCTCGTCACCAGTGCCACCAGCATAAACTGCCGTTTAGGGTTTAGGGGGTACCAGTTCTTCTCTTCCGATATTAAACGCTGCGCGTGGCATTCCGAATACTATCAGTTTTGCCTCAGGGCGCCCGCCAGAGCTTACAATACGTGAGATGATACCCAAGCGTACTCCTGTGCGTTGTGGAGCTCACCCGAAACGATAGAAGTGCCGAGGAAGTGGAGCATTTAGGGATTTCAGGGTTGCTGTGGATCAGGCAAAGCTTGCAGGGGTTCGTGGGTTTAAGGTATAGAGTTTATGGGGCTCTTAGGGTGCAAGGTTGAAGGTCTGGGCCTGTCTGGGCGTGGAAAGCGGTGGTGCATGCCCAGCAAGAAGAAAACGTTTATGAACCCTAGACCCTAAACCCTAGTGGTTGCCGAGCTTTGCCAAGTCACCGGGTGCAGGGATCGCGGTGCCGAGGCCTTGCAGTTCTCGAACCTTAGCCGGGAAAGGCCGGGAAAGGGGGTACTGTGGGTTAAGGGTTCAGGGTTTAGGGTTCAGGGTTCAGGGTTTAGGGTTTAGGGTTCAGGGTTTTGGCGTTTTTTTGTGTTTCGGGGATTCAGGCCTCAGGGCTCCAGAAGGCTGTAGCAGACTACACAGCATCCACGCACTTTGCGACGTGAACCCATGGCCCAGAATCTGAAAGGCTCCCATTCAGAATGCACATCCAGAAGCACCCGCGATGTTCCTGGTAAGGTACCTCCCCAAAGAGCCAGCATCTTCTATTTTGGCAATAGTTATATCTTAAATCATGCAGAACCCCGTGAAACACTTGAAGCACGTCGACTTAAATCGCGTGAAGGAAGTTTAAGGACAGTTCGGAATTCCTTATTTCACGAGGCTCTCGAGGTAGTCATGCCATCAAGCCACATCTCCGAGGTCTTGCTGCGCGCGGATCCGTTGTGGAACTGAGGCAGGTTTGGTCTTGAGGTTTCCTGTGGTGCTGCTTTCTGGTAGAACCCGAAACCAGGGCTTGACGAGAGACATGGGACATAGTGAGTAGGTTTGAAGCGGGATTATATCAATACCATACTTGGAGTTACTGTACCTAGATCCTTGCCCATGATCTACATTCTACCTGCTAAGCCCCGTGATTCAGGTGGTGCCCCGGCCCTAAACCCTAAACCCGAAACCCTAAACCGTTGGTGGCGGTAGCAATCGGAAGGGCATGTGAGAATCAAGCGCAGACTTACTCACAGCAACCCGGCGTCTGAAGCTAATTACACCGACATCCTCAGCACTCTAGATGTGGGCAGATGTCTAAATTAGGGGTCCCTTTTAGGGTCCTTTTTCTAAGGGTGCCGTGCTGTAGTGGGGACCTAAAAAGGGACCCTAATTTAGAGAACTACCCATGTGCTAAACTTCTAAACTAGTTGAATGCTCTGCAATTCCTTCGTATCCGTCTCTCCATCTCCATCTTGCCCGACTCATAAATCACCCAAAAAGGTGCCGGATGATACCATGCAGAAACCACAGAGCATCATGGCCCAAATCCCTATAAATCCCTGTACAATCCGCAAAGACCAAAGACAAAGTTTTCCTGACCCGTTTCAGGCCCCTAGAGTTCCTGACAGGGTCCCTTCCTCGGTGCAGGTCTTTAGATGCTCAGCTCCGAGCCGTTAGCGGATCCGGCGACGACGCAATGATGGTGGCCTGACGTGGCCCCCAGCACAATTTTAGGGTCTAGAACTCCTTCATCGCGTCGACATCTGTCGATTTTTTGCCGGTCCTCCGAAATGACCGAAATGACAACCCCCGCGCTTTCACAAGTGGCATGTCACATCTTTGTCCTTCCGGTTACGTGCAGAAATCGGCTCCCAAAGAGCCCAACACACCTTGATCAAGCAACATCTTGCTTCTCAGCCTTGCCTGAAATCACCTCCAGGACCCCTCTACGATTGAAAGGACATACTCCTCAAGGATGATGGAGTTTTCTTGTCGCGACCCTTCGATGCCTGTTGCCCCTCGCTCTGGCGATCAAGCTTGCCTCGAGTTCTGTCTCATGAGGACAACAAAATCGCTTAATCTATCGGTCTACATAGGAAGGGGCTTATTAGGGCTGTGTAGGGTTCTGGAATTTTAGGTGGGGTGTTATCATACAAGCCTTCATGGTTTGAGTAGAGCGAACTGACACCGGTGCACGAGACTCTCGCTGGATTTCGGACTTTACCGAAAGGTGTCTAGCTTGGCACAACGAACTGGAGACCCTGGGAGATGCCTGCTGATGCAACTGCTGCACTGCGACGAGCATCACGATTGTCACAACTGCACGAAACCCGAAAGCAACCTCCACTCGTCCTCCTGCTCTTCGATAGGTTGTATTAAACCCATGAAACCCCGGCATATGTTTTGGTGTATACATATATATATATATATATACATATATATATATATGTGTGTGTGTGTGTACACACGCATGTTTCGTAATTATTTTCTACTTGGAGTCAGGTCTACATACATACATACCGACATACAGACGTGCAGACATGCAGACATACAAACAGACATACAAACATACATACATACATACATACATACATACATACATACATACATACATACATACAAATAACCATGAAGAAGCCCGAAACAAACCTGCTAAAGAAACTTCATGCTGGGCTGCCGAGGATGAGCTCCATGGCCTGTGCAGTTCCAGCACTCATCGGCTCATCTATGACTTATAGGGTTTAGGGTTTAGGGTATAGCTTGAATGTAGGGGTTTAGGGTTTAGGGTTTAGGGTTTAGCTTGAATGTAGAGTGCTGGTTTGGGAGCTGATTATTGTCCACGACTTAGAGTTCAAGGTCTCAGGGTTCCAAAATAGTCTTCTGCTGGGGCTTCTATGCACGGGACCGGGTGGGGTTTGTTGTACGTGGGGAGGGTTCTATTTCTTCATGGGTCTATGGCAAAAGTTTTAGGTTTCAGGTTTCCAGAGCTCAGAGTTTAAAACCCTAAACCCTAAACCCTAAACCCTAAACCCTAAACGGTCTGGGGCTTTAGGGCTTCAGAGATCGGAGTTTCGGGCTTCAGGGTTTTAGGATCTGTGCAACCTGCTCCATGTTTTCTTGCTCACCCTGCGGCAGCTGAATTAGAGGTCTCCGTGATCCGTGAATATCACGAATGATACATCTTGATAGTTTCTGAACAGTTTCTAAAAACTTATGCCGAAACCCCGGTCTAATTAGTACCACCCCATTTGCCCAAAAATGGCCAAGAGCCCGAGATCTAGGGACCCCGGCTGACCAAGACAGCCTGGAACCATACTTACACTCCTTTGCTGTCAGGTGAGTGCAGGCACACTCGGATGTCCGAAAGCCCGCCTCTACAGAACGCCAAAACTGTTCCCTCAAGCCATTTGTGGGCGTGTTCAACACCTTGTTGCCAGGAACTCTTCGAACTCAAACCCCATTCCAAGCTTTTGGCCTTCTTCTGCAAATCCTTGATCTCTTCGATCTCAGACTCCTCCTGTCAACAGCGACGCGCTGGGGCTGGGGGGGGGCGCGTGTTCGGGGTGTCGCGCTTTGGCAGTTTAGCGTCTAGGCATAGGTTTTAGGGATGCGGGTCGGGGCTTCGGGGTTTTAAGGGTTTAGGCATGACTCGGTCCATATAATGTAGGTAGAAGATCTGTACATTCGAAATTCACTACTTTACTAAACCGTAGCCCGGAAATCCTAAACCCTGAATTCTAAACCAAAATCCCGGACCCAGAAAAGTCAGAGGCCTTCTTCTCAAAGGCTTTGATCTCCGCCATCTCAGCTGACTCCTTTGGGGTCATCTCTTGAGTCTGATTAGGGTTTAGGGTTTAGGGTTTAGGGTTTGAGTCTGATAGGGGCCCTCTATGAGTGCCCAACTTGTTATACCGTGTTATAGCTATGGAGGTTTTACTGGGGCTTATGGCTCTAGGCAGGGCTGCACAGAGTGGGTATGGGAACTGCCGGACTAAGGATTTTGGTGGCTGGGAGTTTAGGACTTGGGGTTCCAGGTTTCGAGTTCAGGGGCTTGGGTTTAGAGGTTTGGAGTTTAGGGCTTCGGGTTCAACTAAGGGCTCTGGTGCCCTTCTGATGGGCATCTGCGGGCCTGCAGGGAATGCGAAACGTTCAGAACGCTAAGCACAGCGGTGCCTTCCGCACATAGTCGGTGGTCAAGCTGGAAGCGAACGTGTCCTGCTCACTGCTTCTTACAGCACTCGCAACACGTCAACCCTGCCCGCAACACAAGCAAAATCAAAGGCTCTCTGGCTCAATCTTGACTGCAGGCGTATCACTGTCTCCCCATCTTCCAGATGCCGACTTGCTGGCCTTCGGCCGGCCTACTCTAGTCTGTACTGGTCCTGTGAGATCTTCCGCGACTCTGCCTCGTCAAAGAGGCACCAGACGGCCTCAGATGTCGAAGGCACCCGAGATTGACGGTCTTGTGGTCATGATGCGGGCTGCTGCAAGCGCGGACATAGCGGCTGCTTTCAAGGGCTGCGGTATGGAAAGGGTTCGGGGCCTAGGGTTCACTGCCCAGCGTTTCGGTTTAGGGCTTCAGCTAAAAATACCTTAAGCCCTGATGAAAGATTGGGGACCAATGGTTGAGTGTTCGGGGCTTGGGTCTTTCATGGATGAGGTCAGGTCTAGGGTTTTGGGGGGAGGGGAAAAGACAGTTTGAGGGTTCTCCACACTAAGCTGAGGGATACCTTGTTTAGGTTTTTCGCTTGGGGAGGACCTTTATGGTAATGTACCTGCAACACAAGGCATCATGCCATGCAGGACCTGTTTTTGCGGTGGCCTTTTGATCTTACAAATCCAAAGCGCGTCAGGATGAAAAGCCTGAAAAATCTAAACCCCTTGCCTTAGCCCAACAAACAGCAAACCCAAGACGCAAATCCCTCAACCCCAAACCTGAAAGCCTACAACATGCCTGCCGGCCTACTGTGAAGCGCAGATCTCGGAGTATTCCCGTCCAAGGCACGCCCGCAATGACCAATAATTGCTTCCTTGGTCACAGGGGAATCAGGGCACAACGGCCCGTGCATCACAAACTGCGGTAACACCTGAAAGCACCTGCAGCCCACACGGCACCACACAGAGATTCTATAGTGCCTGCTGTATCCGTCAGAACAGGCAGACTTCCAAGCCAAGGGGCATTATAAAGTTGGATGGATCACTGACCTGGAGTGCCATAAACATGTTCTGAACAGGACGCTGAGGACACACTGCTGAGTTAGCCACCTGTACGAGGTACAGGCACAGAAGGGGATTGATTTCTGTGATCCGATATGGTTGCGACACAGGCAAGGAGATAGAGGCAGATAGAGGCAGATAGACAGATAGACAAATAGATGGATGGATAGATAGATAAATAAACAGATAGACAGATAGATGGGCAGATAGTTAGTTGGATAGATAGCCTATAGGTAGGTCGGTGGGCAGGTCGGTCGGTCGGTAGGTTGGTAGGTAGGCAGGTGGGCAGGTAAACAATAAGTAAATAAAGAGATGCATAGACAAATAGATGGGTAGATAGATACTTAGATAGATTCAGATATATATTTAGATACAGAAACGGATAGAAAGATAGGAGTTTTAGAGAGGTGCATACATAGATACATAGATACGTCTGTACGTAAAGCATGGGCTCTAGAAAATCAGGGATCCCTAGAGGGGGGTTAGTGTTACATCTAAACGAAGGAAGGCCTGACAGATCTAGGGCTTGCATGGGCATTGCCGTCATGGCTCATACACGAGCTGGTACAAAGGAATTTGCTCAAGGTTGCAGAAACGATGACACTGCTTGCAAATGCCGGATACAGTATGAGCTGCGGAGGTCGCACGCTGACTTTGTAAAGCCGTAGGTACCATAAGAGGAAGAATAGGAGCAGTGTCGCGGGGCTGTCGCAATTCCTCCCGAATACGTCGAACTGCTATGTCTCTGGAACTGGGCTTTCAATTGCCAAAATTGAGGTCTGGGACATCCGGCTACGTGAATATGTAGGTATTGGCATAGGTTTAATGAGGCACAGGCAGCAGGGACGTGTAACACACATGCATTTAATCGGAAAGTCACTGGCAACGGGGATGTTGCTAGGGTCGACCACGAAGAATACGCAGACATATGCAGACTATCGGGTTCGGCAAAAGCGAGGCCTGCAAGGCTACTGCACCACATGACTGTGTTCTGTCGAAATCAATACGCAAACACGTCGTGCTGCAATCATGTTTAGTGTTTGACCGCATAACTGCTTGCAGGTCGGCATTACATAGCAGTGGGCTCGGTCAGCGGTTGATTTGGAGTGCCGAATTTGTGGTATTGCCCCTTTGCCATCGAAAGCTACGACACAAAACCATGTTTTGGAATTTGATTGCTGGGTACTTAGCAAGCTTCAGACGCCTTTTTCATTTTCCAAACAGCAGCACTCTCGCGTGTGCCGGACCATGTTCCCGGAGATAGCACGACCTGTGCAAGCCAAAACAAGAAAACGAACAGGAAAGCCGCTGAAAACTACAGCCGCACGGTGAGAATCTTAAGAGGTCTTGATTTCAACACGGTGTTCAATCACTACGATCCCATAGACCCAAAGACGAGTTCAAGGCGTCAGCTTTGAAGACTTCAGGCAGTCATTTGCCTTCTAAGCGGAGCCTCACGAACCGTAAATATTGGGAAGCATAGCATGTGCCCCTTGAGGAATGTAGGAGTTAGTCCATCCGCCGCACCGTTACAATAGCCTGGGTATGGGGACTATCAAGACTCACTACACGGTGTTTTGGTAAGAGTTCCGTAAGAAGTCTATGAGGACCCCGGAGCAAATTTGACTGCGTCAGGCCCCTGCATTGGTTCCCAAGTTCTTGAGGTTGGGTCTTGGCTTCGGGTAAAAGGGATCAGAATCAGGGTTTAGGGTTTTGGGGTTAAGGGCTTTGGTAAATGAGGCTTCTGCTTGTGGTCTCATACGCATACCAGAGTCGCTCTCCCCTGTTCTCTGACAAGCACATCTCCAGCGGAGTGGTTACTTTCCATTGGTCGTCGATCTGGCAAGACCGCAAGAAGCAAATCGATGTTCAAACAACGGGGGAGCTGCTCCTGTCAACTCCCCATATCACGTGACTCTTCGATATAGTGGGGAAGGCGCTGAGGGACCCGGAACTGCAACAACACCTCATCGAACCTGAATGTACAAAACATCAGGGGCATGCTTACATTCAAGCAGCTGCACACCTCAACCCCCGCACCGTCACACAGGGCTTATCAAGATAGAAAGCTGCAGGACGTATGCTGCTGCCAAGGGCTTCCTGATGTCATTCTGCTCTCTAGGCCGGCCAACCACCCTCAATACCGGTTTAGGGGTTGGGTTTAAGGTTTAAGGTTTAGGGTCAGAATTCGTTCAAGATTGATTGGACACTCAACCCCAACCCCAAAAGTCTAGTCTAAGCATTTGGACCGCTTGTTTCGGATTCTTTCAGGAAGGTCCCTGCAAAGAGACCTATTGTTGCGGGCCTTTCTCCAGGCATTTATAGCCCCCCTGAAATAAAGGCTCGTTCAGGGTTTATGGGTCCAAGCATCGGCAAAGTCATCGCCCGCTACTTGGAGTCTATGTTGGCAGAGTGCCCCCGGTACCAGCCCCAACAGTGCGGCACCAATGGAGCGATCAGCACAGCGACGGGCACCACAAGATGCATGGCCCAACAACGCAGGGACGATCGGAAGCGAAATGCGAGGCCCAGCCCACAACTTTATACAAGTCTGGAATGGCCTTTTCGGTAGCAAGCTCTCTGATCAAAACTCAAACTGGAACCGTCTCTTTATCCTCACAGCTTCTTCTTCTTGCTCACATTGACAGGGAGAGACTCGATTCTGAAGCACCTCGTCAATGCTGAAGTGCTCGCAATTGGCGGGAACGGCCTTGCCCACGGGTTTCGAACTTCTGCTGTGGCCATAAATGTGGCCTCCCATGGGCTTGCCTCTCTCTGGGGAGGGTGTTGTCAGCTCCCACTCTGTGATAGCTACAGGCCCAGGTTCAAGACATAGGTCAGAATTCCACACTTTTGGGCACTGACGATCTGCGGGCCTACGGCCCGCTGCTCCCACGATCGT